AAGTCTCCCTCTGTAGCCCAGCCTGATCTGCTAACTTATGGGCAATCCTCCTGCCTCAGTTTTGCAAATGCTAGGATTACAGGGATAATCACATCTAGCTCATTCATTCATTTTTTAAAAAGTTCTTATTTATAGCCGGGCGTGGTGTCTAAAGCCTTTAATCCCAGCACTAGGGAGGCAGAGGCGGGTGGATTTCTGTGAATTCGAGGCCAGCCCTGGTCTCTATAGAGAATCCAGGACAGCTGGGGCTACAGGGAGACCCTGTCTCTAAAAGACCAAAAAAAAAAAAGTTCTTATTTATTTTTATTTATTTGTTTTTGGTCTTTTGAGACAGGGTCTCCCTGTAGCCCCACCTGGCTTGGAACTCGTTATGTAGACAAGGCTGGCATCAAACTCACAGAGATCCACCTGCCTCTGCCTCCCAAGTGCTGGGATTAAAGGCTTTAGACACCACGCCCTGCTACATAATAAGTTCCAGGCTAGCCTGGCTACTGTGTGAAACAGTGGCTAGCTACTCTGTTTCAAAGCAGGCAAACAAACAACAGAGCGAGGGAGGGAGAGAGGGAAGAAGAGAGTAATGGAGGGAAAGAGGGAGGGAGGGAGAGAGAGAAACCAAAGAAGCAATGCAGTAGAGATGCCCACAACCCCAGTACCTTTGAGATGGAGGCAGTGAGAGTTGGGAGTTCAAGGTCATCCTTGGTCCTTGGCTACATAGTTTGAGGCTTGCCTAAACTACGTGAGGCTGTCTCAAAATGAAAAACCTACAGTTTATAAAATAAAGGAGAAAGGTGGGAAAAAAAAACAAAACAACAAACTAACAAGTTAGCAGCCAATCAACAAACAAAAATAAATAAATAAAATCATAAAATATATCAGAAGTTTTTACTGTTTTTGTTTTTTGTTCTGAGATAGGGTCTCACTATGTAGCTCTGACTGGCCTGGAACTTACTGTGTAGACCAGGCTGGCCTCAAACTCACAGAGATCTGCCTGCCTTTGCCTCCCAAGTGCTGAGATTAAGGGCATGTGCCCCATACATGGCTAGCTTTGGTTTTTGAAAATATTGTTTATCTTTAGCTATGTGTTTGTGTCTGTGTGTGGGTATGTGCACACAAATGCAGGTTCCTCCAGAGGCCAGAAGAGGGCATCAGATACCCTGGAGCTGGAGTTACAGTTAGTCACCTGATGGAGATGCTGGGAACTGAACTTGAGCCCTCTGTAAGAGTAGTGAGCACTCTTGATGACTGAGCCATCTCATCTCTCCAGAACCCCAGAAGCTCTGGGGGTTTTTGCCATTTTTTTTTTTTGTCTTTTTTGAGACAGGGTCTCCTTGTAGCCACAGCTGTCCTGGAACTCACTATGTAGACCAGGCTGGCCTCAAACTCACAAAGATCTGCCTGTGTCTGCCTCCCAAGTGCTGGGATTGAAGGTGTGTGCCACCACGCCCAGCGGAAGCTCTGTTTTTATTTTAAAATAACTTAATTCCTGGGAAGAGGAGGGGTTTAGGTGAATAAGAAAGAAATTCTAGGGCTGGAGAGACGGCTCAATGGTTAGGAGTACTGGGTGCTCTTGCAGAGAACCTGGGTTTGGTTCCCAGCACCTACATGGTGGCTAACATCTGTTCTTAACTCCAGGGAATCTGACGTCCTCTTCTGGCCATTGTGGGCATTGCTTATACATGGTACACCTACATACATGCAGGCAAAACACTCATACACATAAAATTAATTAAAAATTAATTAAAAACAGAAGCTTGAGAGATGGCTCGGTGGATAAGAACACTGGCTGCTTGGGCTGGAGAGACGGCTCAGCGGTTAAGAACACTGGCTGTTCTTGCAGAAGACCCAGGTTTGAATCCCAGCCCCCACATGGCAGCTAACAACTGTCTGTAACTCCAGTCCCAGGCAATCTGACAGCCTCTTCTGACCTCTGAGGGCACTGCACGACACAGGTGCATTTACCTACATGCAGGCAATACATGCATACACAAAAAATAAAAAAAATAATAAAATTAAGAACACTGGCTATTCTTTCTGGGTCTGGGGTTCAGTTCCTAGTACCCACATGCTCCAGGGGATCTGACACCCTTTACTGGTCTCCAAGGGCATTGTACGCATGTGGTATGCCTAAATATACATGCAAGCAAAACACTCATACATTTGATAAAAATTTTTTTGAGATGGTCTCACTATATAGCCTTGGCTAGCCTGGAACTCCCTATGTAGACCAGGCTGACCTCGAACTCACAGAGATCTACCTGCCTCTGCCTCCTGAGTCCTGGGACGTGACATTTTTCAAAAATTATATAAGGGGCTGGAGAGATGGCTCAGCAATTAAGAGCACTGGCTGTCCTTGCAGAGGAACCGGGTTTGATTCCCAGCACCCACATGGTGGCTAACAACCGTCCTTAAGTCCAGTTCCAGGGGATCCAACACCCTCTTCTGAACTCTGTGGGCAGTGCATGACATGGGTGCACTTACATACACGCAGGCAATACACTCATACACATAAAATAAAAAATAACAAAATAGAATATTTTTAAAAATTAATAAAAGTATTCCAGGGCTGGGGACGTGGTTCAGTTGTGAGCATTTGCCTAGCATAGGTAAGACCTTGGGTTACTGTCTCCACACAGCAAAAAATAAAATAACAGCAAAAACTCAACCCCTGAATTCCTTAGCCTGTCATTTAGTGTCCCTTGTACTTGGAGTCCCAATCCCATCAGGATGCCAAGAAACACCAGACAGCCTATTCAATAACTATGTCTGAGTCAAGCCAGCTGGGGCTACAGGGAGACCCTGTCTCAAAACGACAAAAATTTTTTTAAAAGTTTACTAGATTTAACAGTTCTAAATTCCTTGAGTACATGAATCAGTTCTCTAGCTAATAACACAGAGCCTGGAAGATTCTCTCACAGAAATGCATTCTAGATTTTATAGACCCTTCATAGTCTTTATGTTTTATTTCTTACTGCCTTTAAAACATACTCTACCTCTTTGCATTTATTTTGGGTGTACTGGGGCTTGAGTCTAGGGTCTTGAGCAAACTAAACACAAGGTCTATCGCATAACTACCCCTATACCCTCTTCACCCTGTTTTAAGATAGTGCCTCACTATGTGGCCCAGGCTAGTCTGGAACTCAAGCTTCTCCTGTCTCAGCCTCCAGTGAGATGGGAATACAGATGTGTACTACCATGCCTGGCCCTATTTTATTTTCTCTTTTCTCTTTTTTTTAAAAATTTATTGTGTGTGTGCATCTGTGTGTATGTACACGTGTGCTGGTACCTGAGAGACCATAAGAGGGCATAAAATCCCTGAAGCTAGAGTTACAGGAGTTTGTGAGCCTCTTGACAGGGGTACTGGGAAGCCAATTCTAGTCCTCTGTAAGAGCAGCAAACGCTGTTAACCACTGAACAATCTCCCCAGCCCCTCTCTCTCTTTTTTCTTCCCCCCCCAGGGTCTCTATTATTTAAACTACTTATTGGGCCAAGCATGGTGGGCACACATGCCTTTAATCCAAGCACTTGGGAGGCAGAGGCATCTGGAACTCTGTGAGCTTGAGGCCAGCCTGGTCTATATAGAGCTGGTTTATATAGTTCCAGGCCCCCTGGGGCCACAGGGAAACCCTATCTCAAAAAAAAAAAAAAAAGTACCTTTTATGTGCATGAGTGTTTTGCCTGCATGTATGTATGAGCACCCATGTATTTAATCCCTGTAGAGACCAGTTGAGGTTGATGGATCCCCTGGAACTGGAGTTACAGATGGCTGTTAGCCTTGTAAGCCACCATGTGGGTGCTGGGAACTGAACTGGGTCCTTTGATAACCGTGTCTTCAGCATCTCTAGGGTCTCTTGTAACCTAGGCTGGCCTCAGTTCCTTACGTAGCCAAGGATGACTTGAAATTCTGATCTTCTTGCCTTCCCCTCAGTGCTGGGATTCTGGGGCGTCCCACCACATTTGATTTATGTAGTGTTAGGATCAGAGCCCAGGACTTTGGCTAGGCAAGCACTCTACTGAGATACAACCCTTTCCCCCTATTTTCTTGAGCAGAGTGTTTTGTCTGTTTTGTTTATTGCAGTGCCCCATTGGCTTAGCACAGTAATTTCAACACAGTAGGTTCTGAAATGTCGGGGCAATCTCGACACTTGGGACCTGGAGGCAAGAGGATCAGAATTCATTCAAGGCCAGCTTCTAGTTTCATAAGAAATTCAAGGCCATCCTGGGCCCTATGAAACCCTGTTTCAAACAACACACAAAAACAACAAAAAATATGCAATCAAAACTGTGGGGTATGTGAGCTATGGAGCAGGCGATGGTCCAGTGAACTGAATCTTCAGTACTCCACTGTAGAGGAAGAAGGGGGTCCTCGAGGGTCAGCCTGCAGACAGCTGCATCACTTAGGGAAAATTAACCACTATGCTCGGCGGATATTTGTCATTCCATGATTTCAAGCAGTCATGCCCGATGTCAAGGTGCATCATGGGAACAGCAATCTTAGTGTGTGTGTGACAGTTCTCCAGGGGTTGCACCCTTCAAGCAGACATGATGGTGGCTGGGCAGTTTGGATTCAGTGTCTGCATTCTTGTTTTGCCTCCCCTACATCCATGTTCCCCCACCCACCCACTCACCCACCCACCACTGCCAGCTACTTCAGTTTCAGAAACGGTCCAGAACTGAGGCCGTGGCCTCCTCCCCTCTCAACTGCCCAGACTTGGGGCGGGGCCGTGAATCAGCACTCCCTCGGACTGATGCTGGCAGCGTCCCCGCCAGGGGTCCCCAGCGGTCGTGGGTTTAGACCCCACCCCCACCCCGTCCGCTTTCGCGCTAGGCCCCTTGGGAGTTGTAGTTTCCACCGCCCCTTTGTCCTTGGTCTCTTCAGCCTGTCAGTTTCCGGAGGTCCGAACTGCAATTCCCAAAAGCCCACGCGCCAGAGGCTAGACGGGGGTGGAGGAAGCGAAGAGGGAGGGGTAGGAGCGTTTGAAGGCTGAGGCAAGGAACTGGGGTGAAGTGAAGAAAGGGGAGCGTCTTGGGGGTCAGTGGAGACTTGGAGAGACGCTCAGAAAAACAGCAGTGAGCCATCGCGGGCTCCAGTAGGAGTGGGAGAAGCCCACTTAGAGTAGGGTCGGGCGGTGCCTAGGCGGGGTTTGGGCGGAGGGCGCGCTTGCACGAGTGGGCGGGACGCTACGTCACCCGTGTGGGCGGGACCGCAGGGGGTTGTCCGCCCGCGGCACGCACAGCAGCCGCAGCCGCCTCGCGCCGGGTCCCGCGGTCGCAGCTCGTGCAGCCTACTTCGCGCCGTCACCTCAGTCTCCCGCTTCGTGGGTCGGTCGCTCCGACACACGGGCTGCAAGCCGCGCCTTTCTTTTCTTCCAAAAGCCCTTGAAGGCCGTCTTCGGTTCCTTTCTTTCCCGCCCGATTCTTCTTCTCCAGCACCGCGAAGATGGTGGACCGCGAGCAACTGGTGCAGAAAGCCCGGCTGGCCGAGCAGGCGGAGCGCTACGACGACATGGCCGCGGCCATGAAGAACGTGAGTGTCTCCTCCCCTCCCCCCTCGGCCTCGCCCGGGCCGCTCCCAACACTGCGCTCCGCAGCGTGCAAATCAGGCGCAGGGGCACGTCGCCCTGTAGTGGCTGGAAGGATCCTTTCCCCATGTCACTCCTTGGGAGGGGACGGGTCCCCACAAACGATCGAAGGACCCGAGTGGTGACGCGGCCTCCTGGCCCTGCGTCCCCGGGGCCCTTCCCGGTTTCGGGGCTGGGGCGGGGCTTTGCAGGGGTTTTCTGGGTTGCGGGGGTCTCTCGGTGACCCTGGGCGTGTGGGGACCCGAGCTGGGGGCCATGCTCATCCTTTGTGCCCCACTTCCCCTCCTCCCAGGCTAGGCGTGGGGGCGGGGGACCGCATGGATGCGGTTCCTCTTTCTCTCCCTGGTGTCTGGGCGGCGCCTTTCCCATTCACTCCGCAGGTCTCTCAGTTTTCCACCTCCCCACCCCAATCCGCGATCTCCTGCCCCACTGATACATTCTTTAAAGAACCTCCGGGGAAGGGGGTAAAAATGCTGACTTTTTCCTGAAAATTCGGGCTCAGTGGTGCAAAATCGAAACCACCTTGCAACACCTTTTTCTTAACAAAAGGCTTATCTTGGCCCATTCCCTAAAGCTTTGAGGAGGGAAGGGAGAAGTGTGTCTCTGGCCTTTTATCATTCATGGTCCTCCATATACCATCTTTTTCTTCATTTTGTTTAATTGAAAAGGGTTAGGCACTTAAAATAAAGGTTGTGAAGGTTAGCTGACCGTTTCCATCTGTGACATATGCTATTTCTTTTTTGAATGCAGGCACACGTCTGCTGAAAATCCTATAAGTTGGAAAAAAAAAAACCTAACTGATCTGATACTGCGAACAAAGCGGTGGTGGGAGGCAGTATCAAGCCATTCCAGAAGATTCTGCGGTTGTCATATTGCAGAGAGCCTAGACTGGGTGGCGGCTGGGAGGAGTTATTTAAAGGGGAAAAAGTCTTTTTAAAAAAATTTTATTAGATGCATCTGAGGGTTTCTCTTTTTTACTTCTTCAAGCCAAGGCATCCTCACCCTGATGAAAAGGGAATACTGGAATACTGAACAGTTGTCCGATTTTTCTCTGGGCTGCAGATTGCTACCCATTTGCACCATTTTGTCAGTAACACTTAATCCAGTGAGTTGGGGACCAGTTTGATTACTAGAGGAGGGGGAAGTACTGAATATTGGCAAAATTAAATGTAGAAAAATGAATAATTGTTTTTTTTCCATTCCTTTAATTTTTAACTTCCTACCTTATGTAACAAAGGTTTTAAGATGCATCTCTGGCATGCGCTGGATGCTGTAGTATGCCTTGCCTGTTAAACCTGTTCAAACGAAGCAGGAGAGAGATTTTTACTCATTAATATTTGGATAATTTTACTGGTTTCCAAAAACCACGGTGCTTACGCTTTCCTAATTAAAACCAGCTACAAAAACAAGCTTTTCATCTTATGAAAGAGAATTGGGTTTCAAATGGGAAATACTGCTGTATGAACATGTTACAGTTGCTATTTCATAAGGCTTTAATGTTCCGGTGATGCAAACTGAACTGCCTGTAGGTCATCAATATTGGAAATATTTTCCCTTTATCATACTTAGACTTTTAATTTTTCCCTATTTCAGTTCTGCAGGAGAGTGAGTGACCTCGCACCTATATCCATAGCAACCCAGTGATGTCACACACAATGACACAGAGGCTGCAATGCACCTGAGGGCTGGTAGGGAGCTTTCAGTTGGCATTTGTCCAAGGTAATGCAGAAATGAGTCGATAAGCCAGGTGGCATTAAACACTTCATCCTCTACCAGATAGGAATTGGTCTAAAAAATAAAAATTTCAGTTCCCTTTAGACATACAAGACCTCACATAGGCCCAGTTGCCTTCCTGTTTCTTCTACTTTTGTTACAAAAGTTGATGACACTTTCATGTCTTAAAGCATTCAGCTCATTTTTTAAAATGCCACAATGAGTGAACGAAGGTTTTTGTATGTGTAGTTTTGTTTTCATTTTGTTTTGTTTTGTTTTCGGGGGTCTGAGATAGGGTCTCCCTGTGTTCCCAGCTGTCCTGGAACTCACTATGTAGACCAGGCTGGCCTTGAACTCACAAGAGATCCACCTGCCTCTGCCTCTGCCACTACCTCCCCAGTGCTGGGATTAAAGGCATGCACCCCTGTGCTTGGCCAATGAAGGTGTTTTTAAATAAGAATATATACCCCAGTGTAGAAAGGTTGTATTCTGCCCCATTTGTGTCTCTTATTTTCTGACAAGACTGAAGGGAAGAGTGGTTTGCAAAATAGACCTTTTTTTCTTCTATTAACTGTGGTTTTTGAGGATAGAGCCTTACCTCTGACTCCCCGTTTTCTTGTCTGTGAAAAGGACACAATACCTATTTGGAAACCAGAAAGCGTAGTAGGTAACTCCAAAGTGGTAACTACTGATCTGTTTCTCACGTGTGTAGTAACCCAGTGGCATGTGTGAGGCCCCAGGTTCAATCCCCAGTCCCAGAAAAGTTTTTTCAATCATGTGGTAACTTAGAAAGAAGAAAGAAATCCAGTTTTGCCACCCCAGTTGCGCTTTGCTGGTAGGCCAGGCCTCTGATGATAAAGGGTTTGAGATCTAGTTTCGTGTTGGGAAGTTGTCTTGGGAATGACACTGAATCCATGCAGAACGGTAGTTTTATGAGGCGAACAATATAGAAACAGTGGCTGGTTGGGTCACGTAAGATAGATATGTAATCTTGCAGTTAAGGAGAGCAAATGCCTAGATGTTTCTGCCTTGGTAGATGATATTGTAACTCCCCCTTATCCATGTTTCTAGTTTCTGTTATCTTACTTTCCCTTGGCCAATCACAAATCTGAAAAGATTAAAATGTAATAAAGTCTTACACATCTGTTGTAGTCTGTTGTAATTGTTGTTATAATTACTCTCACTGTGCCCAGTTTAGAGATTAAATTTATCACAGATATGTATGGTAGATACAGTGTTTATCTGCAGTTTGAGGCATCTGCTAGGGATCTTGAAAAACATCCCTGTGGGCAGTGGGGAGACATCTGGACCATCTTGTCTTTTGGCTTTTAAGGGCCTCCTGAGAAGTTAATATACTAAGTAGGCCACTGGTACTTGCCTCCTGGGGAGAAAAGGTACTGGGCTTCTAATTTCCTTGAAGTTACTGGGTTAGGCAGTGTTAAAACTGGGGAATCAGGGTGGCAAAAGGCAGTCTTAATTTTATAATCAGATCTTCCTAGAGACATCAATAGGTTTTAAAATCCTTACTCTCTGTCATCCTGTTTTTTTTTCCCCCTGCCAGTTCTTCCAGGAGGCCAGATCAATAACCATTAGCCCTAATGGAGTAATGACACCTCTGTAGCCCCTTCCGAGGTGGAGCTCTGCCAGCCATTATGCTCACTCAGGTCTGGATTGTTCTGTGTGGAGTGCAGACAAATGACTTTCTCATGTTATATCCTTCACAGTGTCAAAATGAAGATTAAATGTTTTTCTCTTTTTAAAATTAAATTTATTTAGTGTGTGTGCGCGTGTGTGTACACGCGTGCACACACACACACTCATGTACACACCATGGCATACACGTAGAAGCCAGAGGACACTTGAAGGAATCAGCACTCATATACACACCGTGGCATACATATAGAAGCCAGAGGACAACTTGAAGGAATCAGTTCTCTCTACCATATAAGTCCCAGGGATCAAATTGGTCATCAAGTTTGGAGCAAAGCACCTTTATCAACTGAGCCATGTTGCTGGCTAAATCCTTTTTTTTCCTAATAATTAAAAAACAAAAACAAAAAAAACCCTCATGTAGCTCCTGAATTCTTTGAGGTAGACGTTGTGGCTGATGTGTATTGTCATTACAGTCTCTGGATTAAAAGCAGACCCCGGGTGGTAGAATTCTATGTCTAGTGAACAGTTACTTATGAAGACTAATTCTATATTGAAAAGAGGAAAAAAAAATGATTTGTTTTTGTCTTTTGGAGACAGTGTCTCATGGAGCCCTAGCTAGCCTGGGACTCAGACTGCTTGCCTCTGCCTCCTGAGTGCTAGGGTTGAAGGTGTATGCCACCACACCCAGCTGTTCTTTTTTTGAGACAGTGTCACTGTGTAGACCAGACTGGCTTTGAACTCCTGCAGAGATTACAGGCCAGCTGTGTTTTTATTATTATTGTTGTTGTTGTTGTTGTTAAAGTCACAGCAGGCTGGAGAGATGGCTCAGAGGTTAAGAACACTAGTTGTTCTTGCAGAAGACCCGGGTTTGAATCCCAGCACCCACATGGCAGCTAACAGCTATCCATAACTCCAGTTCCAGGGGAGTCCAAAGCCCTCTTCTGACCTCCAAGGCATTGCACTACACGAGCGCACTCACCTCCATGCAGGCAATACACGCATACACATAAAAAAAATAATAAATATATTTTTTTTAAAGTCACACAGCATAACATTTAACATAGCCCGGTTCCATAACAGCATTTGAAATGTACAGTGTAGCAGTATTTTGGTACATTCTGCACCCATTACCTTTATTTAGCACAAAAATGAGAAAATGAAAATTGAGTATGATGGTACACACTTGTAATGGCAGGTCTTGGGAGATGGAGGCAGGAGGATTAGGAGTTCAAGGCTACCCAGCGGAAAAATGGTATGTTTAAACTGGGCTTGGTGGCAGATGACTTTAATCCCAGCACTCTGGAGGCAGAGGTAGGCGGAGGTGGAGCTCTGTGAGTTTGAGGCCAGTCTGGTCTACATAGAGGGTTCCTGGCCAGCTAGGACTACATAATAAGATCTTGGTTTTTTTTAAAAATGTGTATTTAAAAAGTGATGCTAGTCTGGACCACAGCTGGCTGGATTTCAAAACATAATTACCCATTCAGGAGTGTGTCGGGAGTACCCACCACAGCTCCCAGCCTGTGATAATTGATTATCCCTCAGTCTTTGTTTTTGAGTAACTGAACCTTTTCAACATAAA